TTATCAAAATGGTTGTCAGCAAAATTGGTTTACATGTATAATTTTGGGATCCAAAAAAAGATTTTCCAAAAAATTCACAAGAGCTTTTTAGATCCCGAATAATAAGTATAAAATTCATAAAATTAATAACCTGAATATAGTAATATAGTCTGAATGGCTTGTAGATCACGTCACTGCCAATTTTTTGTGACATGACTAATTTACCTGTATCGTTACATTTATGTCATAATTAATAGAGTTGGGCAATCGGAAAAATGTGTTGTTCGGTGAAATTTAAATTTTTAAAATTGTTCATAATTTTTTCTAGAAATAAGAAACCTTTGTTCAGAGTCAAGCAAACCAAATACCGTTTTCCACTGCCTACAGTACTCAGGGTCTTATTCAAGAATCCATTTTTAAATTAAATAGTACCCGTGGATACTGTGTGAAGAACCGGATACTATATTTGGGATGTACTATATTAAAAGTATTAAATCAATATAGTTGTATCCCGGGTCTTATTCAAGAAACAATCTAGTAATAGTGATGAATATTGCCCGGGTCTTAATCATGTGGTATTATTTTTGAGAGATACTGTAGGCAGTTTAGTGTTAATTCTGTAATTTAATGCGCTTAAAATAAAATGCGCAAATATATTTTTTATTTAATAAAAAACATTGAAAAACAAAAAAAATCAATTGCCATTAAAATATAACATGCTTAATTGCTTTAAAGAATCAAGCGAAAGATTTTGACGATTACTATTTAAAAGATTGTTATACATAGAAAAGCTACGTTCTACACTACAGCTAGAAATTGGGAGCCAAATATAATCTAGCGCAATACTTGATAAAGTTGGTAAAGTTAATTGCATTCCCATCCAATAATCATGAAGATTTATTTCTTCAATTACCTCATTTACAGACCCACAATAAATTGCCCATTCTTGCACAAGTTCATGTGAAGGATTATTAAGTTCAATAATTGCCGAATATCGACAAAGATCTCTACGTAGAATATCACCCACTTGATTTCCAATTTTAATATATAAAGGGTTAAAAATGCGACAAGCCTAAAATAAAGAACGTGCAGGGTGACGCGGAATGTGTACTGCATATTTATTATATGCAACAACAAATGCTGACCTAAAAGTATTATTAAATTCTTCTAAATTAAAGTGAAACTGCGTAATGAGATTATTTAAATTAGATCCAAAATCGCGTGCTATAATATTTCTTTCAATAAATAATGAAAGTTGTTCAAGTCATCCTTTAACAAAAGGAAATATTGGCTTACTTTGCTGCTGAAAAAAATCTAAATCATGAACAAATTCTTGTATGTAACATGTTATAAAATTAATATAAACAATAATTATGCCTTGTTTTTGGGTATTACTTAAAATTTCATTTATTTTAGCAATCGACTCATTACCCGTGTCTTTTTCATATTCTTCAGAAAAAAAAGAAGACCAATATTCGATATGATTCTTCGTATAAAATACCATCTTAAACCATGAATTCCAACGTGTCTTGTTTGGCAATGGAATTTTACATAGATTTTCAACCCCATGCATTCGAAGATGATTTAAATAATGGCCCTTACGTGCAGGTGAATTAACAAATACCTCTTTAACTTTTGACAAAAGAATTTTTACAGGATTAAAATCATGAAATGTTTGCCAAGTATCACTAATAAATATAGTATATAATTACTATTACATATTATTATTATTATTATTATATGATAGTATATACGTATAAATTTAAACTTACCCAATTAGATTAATAATATGCGCACAGCAAGGCACATGAACTAACTGTGGCATTACTGGTTTTAATACTTCACGATAACATTTTTTCATGTAGGCCGCAGAATCAGAAATGAATAATTTTGGCAAAGTATAAGAAATATTATATTTAGCTAGAAGAGCTAATAAAACTCCACCAACTGTCGAATTATTTACATGATTTAAAAAGTCAACTGAGACTAATTTAGTATTTTAGTGAAAAATAAAAAGAGTATTTACTACACTACGTGAGCATTCGTCTGTAGTTTCATCCATTATTATTGCTACAGGTTTTTGCTCAAAAAGATCTTGAAGTAAAGAATAATGATCATTAAATACATGGGGTAAATAAATTTGATGTAGTGTAGAGGCTTAAGGAATTGCGCCACCTTCTTTAAGGTGTTTTCTAAAAAAGAGAAGTAAGCTATTTACTTTTTCAAGAGGAATATTCGCTAAAGAAAAAGCTTCAATTAAATCCTCTATAACTTCTTTTTTTGATTCGGATGCAACTGCAGCAGTAGCAAGTGTAACTTGCTTTTTTGACTTTTCTTTATTTTCGTATATTTGTTTGTTTTTTAGGTGCCCTCTTGAATTACAATGTCCGTCGATTGTAGATTTAACTTTCCACTCAACGGACAAATTGCAATAGTTACAAAACATAATTCCTCTATCCTCTCTAAAAACATCTGGATATTCATTTAGATGAGTTAACATAGAAATCTTTTTTTTTCGTGTTGTTATTATAATTCAAAAGAAATAAAATTTAATAAAAAAAGCGCATTTTAGAAGTATATTCTCTTTTTATTAAGCAGATTATCAATAAGCTTAATATTACAAACAATATAAAAGCCACATAGCAGAAATTAAAAACATGCGTAAGAACGAATTATCTTTCTTACAATATGGAATTGGAAAATAACTTCTAAAAAATCAGGTAAAATTAGTACAAACTGATATATTTAAATTATTTAAATAACAAGTAAATTAAGGAATACTTATTTTGAAGAAGATTAAAGTTTAGTATTATAACGAATACTTGTTTGAAGAAGATTAAAGTTCGAAAATACTTGTTTAAAGAAGATTTTTGATAATAAACCATGGTTTTGAACGTTTTGAACCTTGGAACGGGTTTGATTTTGGACCCTTTTGTTTTATGCATAAGCTGCAATACTATATTTGGGCTATCAAAATTGACGGGGCAGCCTAATTCTGTGAGAAACTTCATATTATTTGAAATTCTGTACTACTATTTTAAATTATGTGATATCCTGTGATTACCGGAGTTAATTTCTGTGATTAGCTGTTTTTAAGAATAATTCTGCTGTTTTCTGTAATCGCAATAAATCATCGTCCCTGTGCTAAAGCAGCCGTGGAGCCCCTATTCTCATAGAATAAACCAAGGCCCAATTCTGTGGTTATTGCACTGTGTATAGGCACCAAGCCACTTACTATTGGGGGAGCGGGTGATGAAAGAGCCAGCCTTTTCTAAGGCGAGCAATAGCGAAACAAAAGATGGCTATTATCACTTAAAGCGCTATTTTTATAACACCTTTCCTTCCCTTACAATTCACATTCACACACCTTTCTTCATACTCCTGGGCCTGATAATCACTACTCCTTTACTAATATTAATAACAAAAATAATAATTAATCATATGCAATCATAACCATAGTATCGCTAGAAACCTGCATCTTAACAAGAACTCTAAGAAAAAACATAGACTAACCCAAAACAGAAAACATAACAAAAACAAAACAGAGATTGGACCTGCAATAAAATCATCTAATCTCGCAATAATGAACGCTCCGTCACTTCGTTGACAAGCTATTACGAATTAATAAATATTCTATATTGAACACAAATTAATAAATATTCTATATTAAATACAAATTAATAAACATCCTTTATACTCACGTATAGCACTAATCATAGTGCATAAAAAATTTAAATATTCATGAACTTGGACAATCTATGATAAATATTTGAATTAATAAATGTCCTTCATCCTTACGTATATCATTAATCATAATTGATTTTAAATCTCTATGAACTTGAATAGCCTATGTTAAACACTCGAACTAATAAATACCCTTCATTACTTATATATAACATTAATTATAGCAAAAAAAATTAATAACCTATTTTGAATACTTGAATTAATAAATGTCCTTTATGCTCATGTATATTACTAAACTATTTTGAACACTTAATAAATGTCCTTCATACTCACGTACACCAATAATAGTGAATACAAAAAAATAATCTTAACTCTTATACAGATATATACAGTCTTTACCTGAAAGCAGCTAGAGGACTCAAAAATTTTTGCGAAATAATTCTTTATTAAATTTCTATTCTTTAGGCTTTTGTCCAGCTTTTAATTGAAAGTAGCTAAAAGTTTAAATAAGATTTTAGTAACCAGAACTTTGAAAAATGCAAGTAAAATATGATTAATTACAATTCGCTCTCTATAGAGTAAATTTACGAACAAGTTCGCTAGTTTAATTTTAATCACTTATTTAGAATGTATATGAATATAGTTTTTTGATGTTTGAACGAAGTAAAGAAAAAAATAGCAACTTCAATATATATAATACAGTATATAATTCATATATAATCGGAAATTTTATTTGGTATTTGCGATGCAGGAGAATGCCCTCCTTATGCAAATCCGGGTTACACTCAATGTACCCCTGACGCACTTTCGACGCATCTAACATGGCAGGTCAGCTGTTAAAAATCGAAAAAAATCTCTGCTTAACTTACTCCAAGTTTATTTCTGCGCTTATTATGTAAGAAGCCCATAGTTGAAAATAATCTTTCAACAGAAGCACTATTGATACAAATTCAAAATAAGTGAAGTGCCAGATTTGCAAGCTCTTTGTGACTTCCACATTCAATAAAAAACTAATATTTAATTATATCACCCTTAAATTGGCTAAAAGATGTTTCATCAAATGGTGAAATATTTGCTAAAAAGTCTTCAAGCTCTAATAAAATATTATCTGGTGTTACAGAAAACCAATTCATGTAGTAATAAACTGTCCATTTTTCTAGCATTGGTGCTGATAAATTATTTAAATACACATTAAGCTTTTTTAGACCATAATTAGGATGGAGTAACCAAGACAAAATAAGAAATAGTTGTTCCCATTGAGCCCACCGCCTCTCTAAACATAATAACATATGTGAGCGAAATGGTGAATCAATTTTTTTTTGAACTATGTTTACCATCTATGCATATGTATGCATAATATCACATAAGCGTGCTGATTCACAATGAAGTTTGTTAAGAGTAGCACAAAATGGAAGAAGAATATTATCTAGTTCTTTTAAATCATTCCAAAAAGTAGAATTATTAATAATTTTGGCTATATCAGTTGGAAATTTTTTATCATCTGGGTTAGTTAAATTTTCTATATTAGTTACAAGTATCTAATAATTATTAATACAAATTATTACTGAAGTAATATAAAAAAATAATACTACAAATATAATATAAAGATAATTTAATATTACTGTTAATGCACCTTTTGATTTTAAAATACTGTGAAAACTATTATAAAAGCTATTATATCTTGTATCACAAGGTAATGTTAAAACATAAGCTTTTCTATTATAAAGATTTATTTGCTGATTACAAAGTTATTCTAGAAAGTAAGTAGACATATTAAAACAGCTAACAATTTTTATAGCTCGGTTTGAAACTTTCTTATATTTTTCTGAGGATTTAAAAATATCTTCTACGCATAAATTTGCTTGATGTGCAAAACAGGGTAAAATATAATATTTGTATATTGAATACGCAATTCTTTCCAAATATAAAAGTAGATATTTTAGAAGTATTTTAAAAAAATAAAAAATTATATCATGATTTCCTAAAAGTTATTTTCTCTACTCGATATCACTCAGAATAACAATTTACTAAAATATATATTTGCAACTAATTAAGTACTAATTTTAATTCTATGTGATATTGAGTAAATAGACTATTAAGAAATAATTTTTAAGAAATTAAGTAACAACTAATAAAAATATAGTTAGTCTGTCAGGAAAATTATCATTTGAGAAAAATACAATTAAAGTCATATTATATAAAATTTTTATTTTAGATTTATATATCGATATTATAGTTTTTTATAAAATAGCAATTTTTCTAGCAGACTACTCATATATATATACCATGATTTAACATTTTCTCCTGCAGAATCAGAAACAATACCAATTACATTAATACCTTTTGTAGCCAAATTCTCAATATAATTCTCAGTAAATAAATTTATATTAGATGTACAACTTCTTTCTGAACTAATATCTTCAGCATTCCATACAAGTGCTTTACTATTAGAAGTAATAAGTACAGTTCCCATTATTTTTTGCTTAACTATATTTTTCCATCCATCAAACACTAAAGTAACACCTATATTATCATTTCTCGCTATAAGCTCAAATTGCTCTTTTGTAATATTTACTTCCTTCTTTAGAATAGATCCACTTAATTTACGACATGAAGGTAATTGAATTGCAGGATTGGCAAGCTTAAAAGCAACCACAATATCATCATCTTCTATCCATTTAAATTATAATCCATTTACTACTATTCCACAAATTAAATGACATTCAAATTGTTGTTGAATATTATTAGGTAATGGATAACATAAATATTGACTAACACTTGTTTGTTTTTTTTTTTTAACTGGTTTAGTAATATATCAAAATATTTTAATAGTTTAAAAAAAGAAATTTTATAATTATACACAAGGTGTATAGACATGAGTATTATTTAATCAATCTGTGCAATATATAAATTATAAACTAGAATTAAATTCAATTTAAGATTAATATTAGAGTAAAGTAGATTTGAGGTTGGGTTATAGGGTTGATCTTTAGTATAGGTGGGTATATATAATTATTACAAAATTATAATATATAAAATCCAACTAATTTGAGCCAATTTAAATAATTTTATAAATTATTAGGGTTAGAGTTAGAGTTAGAATTTAAATTAGCTTAAATTTGTTAAGTTTTATATATTATAATCTTGTAATAATTTATATATGCCCACCTATACTAAAGAAGATCCAGTTATAGTTTATGATAGTTTATACTAAAATTTTACAAGGAATATTTTCATTAAAGCTGTTTTATAATAAGAATTCTGAGATATCAATATACTTGTGTATATACACCTATGTACAAATAGAAGTACTCTTAAAAAAATTATAAATATATATAAAAATTTATTATTACCTATTTGGTTAGTTTTTTTTATAGAGTCTTCTTCGCTAAATTCCTCATTAGATTCATTTTCAATTTGAAGAATTTTTTCTAATTCTTCAGTAGTATATTTTTGTGCAAAATATAGACAAGATTTTAAATGGTTATAGCATAAATTTGCTTTGTTGGTTATTTTTTTAGCTTCGCTACTCAAAGCTTCTAAACAAGCATAATATATGGCTGCTTTATTGCTTTTATTCGCAAATTCATCAAGTATTTTAAAATATTTAGACCATTTGTGACGATTACGTCCCATTATACTAAATGTTGTAAAAGAAAATAATATTAATTATGGCAGGCAAAAATCAATAGCACTCTCAGGAACCTTTATATATTTAATGAGGCTTTGTTTAATAACAAGAAATACTTTATACAATTTCGTTATTTTTTTATTTAATTAATTTTCTTTGTTTACTAATATTTTATTTATTTATTCTTATGAATTCAAAGTATCTTCTGAATTCACTTCTATGTAGATCTTCAGTATCTAACACAGCCTTCTCCATTTTTTTATTTTTATAATAATAGCTTATTTTTTGTATTATTTATAGAAATTGTTAGACAATACCTGCTACAATTATTCTATGTATAATATTGGTCTGGTTATAATAATAAGTACATATGTACATAGTGTATAAGAGAAATATAAACTAACTGCAGCTATTAGAAAATGTGATCTAAGCTATATAGCCTGTGACCTTAAATTTGTATTGATCAACAAAAGCAAAGGTATTTAATAATGCCAATTTGGGTTTGGCTTGAAGCAAAGCCATTGTTACGAATAGAATTATTAGTAATTCCATATAATAACATTTCTTTTTTTACATTTATTTCTAAATATATATGAGATTTTAGTACAATTCTATTTTCATACGTAGCAGTAACCAACATATTTCTTTGTAAATATTTAATCATTTATTCTATTATGAAAATTGAAGATGGCTTAGTGGCTTAGATGTATGAGAATCAGATGAACTATGTAAACCTCAAAAAATCCATGTATACATAGTTACACTGAAACTGTACCTTGAGATCTTTCAATATCTATGTTGTTTTTTCAGTGTATGCCTCCAAATTTTCGCGTAAACCTTGAAATTTGGATGTAAACCTTGAAATTTGGGTGTAAACCTTGAAATTTCGGTGTCTATGTGGTGGGAAAATAAAATGTATATAAAGACTATAAATTCAATAAACGAAAGGATAGTCTCTTATCTAATTTTAATTATCATTAAGTAGTAAAGTGTATACTTATCCAGATTTTCTTTTGAGACTTTGTCTTTGAAATCGACTTGTAACTTTAATAAACCCTTTCGAGACTCAATTCAATAGATTGAATTGACTTGTAACTTCGATTTGGCTTATTAAGACTTAGATTCTAGAACACCTCTGATAGTGATAAGCAACTTCCTTCATTTCTAAAAGTTTATCATTATCTCCCCGTATACCATTGGAGTTAAATTAGCCTTTCATTCATATATTTTTTCTAAGCTCTCTCATCAACGGTTATACTATTGGTAAAGCATCTCTATAGTTCTAAAGGTGGGAATAAAGATCATAGTTATGCAATTGAGTATGAATTACATACTCATAATTAATCATAGAATTTTCTCTCTCTCCCCTCTTCCGATACTTTAAAAGGTCTAATCGTAGTAGCAAAGCCTCAAATGCTATCACTATTCATAATATGTATATATAAATCTATCGATTTTGTATAACTTAAAAAAGAAAGATAGATAAGTAAGAATTATACTAAATAAAGACCATCTAATACCCAGAGATCTTAGTGGCAATAGGATCACAGGATTGCACCCCTTAAATGTGTGCCAGATTTTGTAGCGCAGATTTACTGAATTACGAATCAGATTTCAAGATCATGTGCAATGTAACATGATCAAGAAAATTCAAAACAAATATTTGTTTCGTTTACTTCTCGAAATTATACATAAAAAACCAATTTTGGTGATCTAACAAAAAGTTTTCAGTTTTCTAGCCCATAACACTAACCTGACTCTAACATGAACGAACTTTAAAGCATTTGCTGCGTCATAAACCTGGCACATATTTAAGTAATGCCCCAGGGTTTCAGATCAAATCTTCTGCGTCTTCTTTTGAGTAATCTTTGTTTCTTGTTGTATTTTAGCTGTGAAACTTACTCTAAATTCATCTTTTAAAATGTACATATGTTAATCGCAACTTATATATTACTCTAGTTTAATTCTTGTATTGAATACTTACAATGCCTCACATTTATCTATTTGCTAATCAGTTATAAAATTTTTTTATTCTTACATATACTGATTAATAATGCTAATAATTATTTATTGTAAGTAAGACCAGGATTTAAGTGAATTCAGAATTCTTTAGTTAATCTAGTATTCTACGGTAGAATTCACCTTATATAAACCTATATCTTAATCTAAAGATTCCAAATCTACTTAAATTTCATTTTTACATACAATATATTTATTAATTGCACATTATAAAACTTGTATATTAGAGTTTCAAAACTAATGATTTCAGAAATCAAAATTGACTACTATACACATAGTTGAATAGACAAATAAAATAGAAGTGTCTGAATACTATTTCACAAAATAATAATTAAACTTATATACATAATAGATATTATTTATAGTTTAAATATAAATAGATAGGCAAATAAATATGTATAGTTTATTTATAAAAAAAATATACCATCTATTTTACTAAATTAAATTAACTTTGAAACCTATTTAACTTAAATTCTTAGTAATACTATAAATTTATTATATTAAGCATAACATGATCTGTATTTGCTACATATATTAAAGAATAACGAATCAGGTACTAAAAAAATTATTAATTGAAATTTGTGTAACAAATTATTAAAAACTAGTTAGATTTAGTTTATACAGTGCACTGCCAGTTTTAAACCGAAACAGTCTATTTTGCTTAACGTTTCTAGTGCCACAAAACAAAAACCCAAAATTGTTAAGTTTCTAAAACATTATTTCAGAAACAGGCTTATAAGTATCTGATAAGCCTATTTTTGAAAATAAAATTTCTATAAATTAAGAGTTCCTAGTTTTAGCCTTGCAACACTCATAATTATGCAAACTTGTATATAATCCATTTGACATGTTTACTTGTTATAATATTAGAATAGTTAATATTACTCTTAACAAAAATTACAAATAAATATATTTATTTCACGTTTCTATATGATTGCTTAATGGGGTTTACAACTTATAATCACTACTTTAATCAGCAAAAAAAACCGAGTTTGTAACAATGCTTGTTATTTCCTAAACTTTCAGAGAAATAACAAGCATTGCTAGAAACTCGGTTTTTTTATTGAGTAAAATTATGATTATGAGTCATAAAGTCCGTTATGACATTATATAAAAACACAAATAATACTCTTATTTCACTACTATGGAGAAAGATCTTTGGTCTGCTAGAGGTTCTTCAGGCCTCCAGATGACCGGAGATTTATCTCTTATTCCTGCTATTGCAGAAAATAAATAGTACGTATATATTGCTTGTACTATAATTATATCATTCAACAATCAGTTAAATAATTTTTTTATAGGAATAAGGTATGAATACATAACAAAAATGAGCAATTTCTAAATAAATAAGCCAGTAAATTTAGAATTAGTATTTTTGTTATTTATTTATCATTTTAATGTCATTTATAAAAATATTTTTTATGACTTGTCATTTTGCCATGATTTTATATAAATTTTTTTTATAATAAATGACATTGTCATTTTAAAATGACATGTCATTTATGGTCACTTTCATAAAAATTTTTATGACCTTGTCATTTGCCATCACTGAATAGATCTATACTGAAAGCAAGATAAAAGACAAAAAAAAACAGTTTACGAAAAAAGCATAAACCATTCTTCAGAAAAACCTAGCCGATGACAAACTGGTAAATATTGTGAGGTTAAAAGTAGAAGCTGAACATTCTTATTTGACTTGAGCTGGACTAGTGTAATATGACTGTGTCCACTCCATTGCAGAATAATTGGTTTTTTACAGCGGCCGACTTTTTTATCAAATAGTAAAAAAAAAAGAATTGTGGTAGGATCTGCACCAAATATTATAACCGGCACATTAAAGGTGTCTGATGCCAGTTGTGCATATTCTGATATATAAAACTAGTAATCTTGTAAACATTCTGGTTTTATATAAGATAAAACATTTACAAGTCATTTAAAATCATATCTGAGTATTTCTCCATAAATTTCTTCTCACTTAACTAAATAGTCTCTTATAGTAATTTTAATGTCTCGCCACCTTTCCTCATTTTTTAATATTGCAACAGCTAAAGATCTAAATCCACAATGACCATCACCAACTGGGTCATAAACTTGCAATATCATGTTTTGAGAGACTTGTGGACTAGTATATACTTCAGGCAGATGTGATACAACTATCTTATAGTCAGGCATATTTCCAAAAATAGAAATCGATTCTAGAATACTCTGTGAGAAATTTTTAAAATTTGATAGGTCCACATAAATGCATATTGGCTCTCTTCAAATGAAAACTGTAACTTTTTATAGTATTTGTTTGCAGCTTGTAACTATATACTAATGTAAAAAGACTTTAGTTTTATAATCTCTTAAGATTGTTTCAAAAAAAAGTTTTCTAAAACAAATAAATAAGACACCAAAATTTCAAAAATCATGCTTTAATTTAATAAATTAGCTTACTTTTTTTTTCTTTATAATTAGCAATATTAAAGCATATAATTTAAACTATGTCACATTCGTCATCAGCTCAAGAAAAACCAAAGGCCAAAGATCTTCTTGCATATTTTCTACATTAGTCACTAAGTATAATAAGAAAATCAGATTAAGTCCTTGCGAAACAAAAAAAAAGCAAACCTGGCAAAATGCTTGTGCTTCAGAAGCCATTAGACGGCTTGAGCTGTTTGTTAAATTTATGCCAGAACTTTCTGATTTTCTTTTAGAATCTTATCGATATTCTGTTTGCCAACAACATTATAACGAAGTTGTATCTAAAAATTACTTTATCAACAGCTTTTGGATAATTCTGCTCTAGATCACAAAAATAAAAGATTTTAAGTTAATTCTAGTTCTACCTCTGAAGAAATCATCATCGGTGATGTGTCTTATTTAACAGGCGAATCTGGAAAAGCAAAAGAATTAGATAACAGTGGAGCAAATGATCAAGATAAGTATAAGCATATAATATATCTTACTAACATGATTTCAGAGTTGCAGTACCAAATAAAAGATCAAAAATGAGAAATTTTTGAGCTAAAAAATCGGGTAAATGGATATTGTGAAGAAATAATTTGAATAAACAATTTATATCAAAAAAAGTGTGAAAATAATAGAACTCTTGTCGAACAATGGAATTCTTAGCATAGCGATCAAGATAAGCATGTACAGGAGGTTATTAACATTGTGCTTCTTGAGCGAGAGTCTTTATACGAGGATATTGGTGTTTTAATTAAAGATCATAATAGGTTTTCTTTAGAAAATCTATTAAATTATACGTCACAAATGTGGTTAAATAAGTGTAATCTAGTAATTGTAAGGTTTATTGAAGTACTAACATCTAAAGATAATAATCTTGATTTAGATTCATTGAATGCCTAAAAAATTTTCAAAAAAATGATGGCTGTTGATTTAATATATAGGTCAAGGCATGCAAAATATGTTTCAGAAATAAATCTTGCTATGTCAGCTATAAAATATTTTATTGCGAGATCAAAAACAATTATTAATATCGACAATCATATTACATGCTCTGGAAGCTATTCGCATTTTCAAAAATGGTTAGACAGGCTATCTGAGAGTGAAGAAGCTTTGCCTAATGGATTTTTAGTTATAGCATTCGATAATAAACAAAAAGGGCAATGAAACTATCTAGACTGTGGATTAAATACTATGACATATAGTATCATTACTAGTTTCATTACATTTAATATGGAATCAAAAAATTATTTTCAACATACTAATACACCTTGGTCATCTAATTCTAATAGATTACAGTATAAAAAACTTTTTACAATTACTCTCGAAATGCAAAAAGTGATAGATAAAGAGCTATATAATTATCTATTCAGAATTATTAGTATATTACTTGAAGAAACATTATCTTCAACTAATAGTATTGATAATTTTATCATAAATTCAGAATTGGATGACCATTGTAACAAGGGTGTCTTGTATATAATGAACAAAAAATTGATAATAGAAGACAAGTCTGTCTAAGATGTGGTGTACATCTACCTAAATTGGCTGAATTACAACAAAAACAGGCTTCTAAATTAGAAAAAGATATTTTTTTTTATAATTCGGCTGTTTTGCCACTTTTTATTGAGATTAAACTATACTAAGAAATTTATATTCTCTAATAATAGCTATAACTAATCCACCCATAAAGTGACACACCCACGCTTTTGTCAGGTGTAACTTGCCTTAATGGACTTCAATCCTCTCTCCATGCCCTAACTCACTAGAGGTTATCCTTTGGTCATAAGCTGGTGCCACACATCGTATCAAAGTTAGCTTTCCTTTTTCTAACATAAAATACAAACACAAATATAAAGGGCAAAATAAAAATGAGAAAATATTACGGCGTCGAGTTCTGGTCCACCTAAACCAATAAAACCAAATAAAACAAATAATGAAAAAAAAAAAAAAAAACAAAGAAAAGAAACAAAGATAGCACTATTAAACCCATGCTGGATTGTAAAAATTATATAGTACTACAAATAAACTAGACTAAACTTTATGCTAGTTATTTATATATCCAGGATGTAAAAATGTTAAAAACTATCCGGTCTTGAAGTAGAGCTCCAAGGTCGAAACTTTTGGTGCTATCTCAACTAGGTTGGTGGGTCTTCTGCAGTGCTTCAAACATTATCACATTATCTACCACTATTCATCCCAAAGTAGACACATACACATGTACGTGACTTTTCTTTTTCGGCAGCTATTACTGTATCAATCTTTTGTTGGAGCTACGCCTTTTTTCCCACTTTTTGGTGAAAATTTCAAAAAGTGCAAAAAGTAGAGTTTGGTATAGGGTTTCGGTTTGTGGGTAGCCTTAAACTTCAGTAAAGAATGTGTTGAAAACTCGCTTGTTGTTCTCCTTAGACGAACTATCATTAACTTCGTTAGCAGAAGCAGAGCTTCTATTAAAATTTTCTGTACAAGGGCACCACCTTCTTGCCAGTTATCTTGTACAGGAACACTTTTAACTTGCATACTGAATATATAGAGGAGTCCAGAGGAAACATGGAAATCCTTAATCTCTATAAAAACCGTTATTTGTAGTTGTCTCTTCTACTTTTCTCTAACAAGTTTCTGTTTTCATTAGCTATAAGTTTGGTACGAGTGATCATCAGGAAGAGTTGTGATTGATTATTGAAAAGACTTGATTAGAAAAAGATATTAATGACTGTCCAATTATCTTTAAACTATATAATCTTGAAGAGGAATCCAATACATCTACAATATCACGCATAAGTATTACTTTCAAACTATTGCCTGATGAGGGAGTTAAAGTTCAAGAAATTTTTATATCTGATCCTCTCAATATTAATCCTAACACAATCGCTAACATTAAAGAAATTCTTCTTCATATAGAAAAAATTTCTGGGATTAGGGATGGAATTCGCAAATAGATAATTGTTGCATGTGATGGTATTTTGTATCATTATGCAACTTAAATTAAGCATAAATATCTGTGGCTTGTTCTTGTTCCTGAACAATTGCACGAAGAGATGAATATGCTTCATGCTTATGTAGAACTAAATTAGTAAGTTTATATTTATCTTAATCGTTAAAGGTATAGATTTTATTTTATATTTAAATTAACTTTTCTATTTTAAAAGGAATATTGACATCAAAGACTTTGCGAAATGTCAAGGATACAAAACAGAAAATCAACTCACTTACTTTAAAAATGGTCATGACCGTCATAAGGTTTGGGATTCTGTGTATATTATTTATCAACAAACGATGGCCATAAAATTGGTTTGGCCATATGTTAAAAATAATCTTAATCTGTTGGTAATGGAATATTTAACCTGAGCAAAAGAGCAAAAAGATTCTCTTTACCAAATTAAATTTGAACAGGTGAAATTTCTTATTTTTATAAATTTATTATTATTTTTTTTTTATAACTTTTATACTAATTGATTGTTATAGGTATTTTATAATCTGCAGGCTATTATTAACTATAGAACGGCTATAAAAAAAAATAATCTGTTGTTGAAAAAAGCTGCAAGAAGAGTTTTTTGCTAATGTAGTCAGCGCGATATCATCTAATCTATCGTTTGATAGAAGCTTTTGATAAAATACAATTAATGCTGCTTAACCCTTTTATAAGAGATATTATAGAAAAAAATTGTACCATTTCTAGATCAGTCTTATCAATCAATATCAGGAAATGGATGCGATTTTAGAAAAAATTAATAAGACCTTAAAAACACTAATACTGCCTACACCACAACCACAACACTGGAAAGTTGCTGCAAGAAATTGCAAAAAATTATTCTAAGTAATTATTCTATTTACTCAAATATTAAATATTTAACTAATTGACAATAATAATAATCTAATTAGGGTGCAATTTTTTCAAATTGATTGGGTATAATGATCTTCAAGCAAATAGTCCAAGAAATCAGCCAGAACTAACAACTGAATGCCAAAGATTTCGAGCCTGTTTAAAAAAAAATAATTTTGTAAATCTGATGAATTCAAGAACTATTTGTAAAAGTTTGGATAATAAATTTGAATTAAGCACACAGCTATTAAATTCTACAAGTTTAGCAAGCAAAGCTCAACAAGAATATATTACTAATGTTATTTTAATAATAATCCTGCATCTTTGTTTAGACCAATTCTGATTACAAAACAAGAGGTGGATGCGCAAGAAAGTAAAGTTGCTATAACAAAAGCGAAAATTATTTACAAGATTGAAACTTTTTTTGAATGCTTGGATGAAAGTGTTCGAAAAAAATATGGTGGACTAAAATCTAAAAGGTGTGATAAATTATTGATCATATTAGAAGAGGTAAGGTCTTTATTTGGTTCAAATTGTGAATATAATAACTGTGATTAACTATGATTATATGATAAGAGTGGATTCGAATTTAAATTTTTTTTTATTAATTTTAATTTTAATAGAGAATACCTATCTTCACCATGGAAATTTACTATTTACACTATGTAATTTTTAGCTATATAAATATGACGAACACATTGTCATAATAAATTACATCAAATGATGGAAATTGATATTCTCTTTTAATAATATAACAATATTCATCATCTGTAATACGACTTCTGTAATTTATTAAAAATTAAGAATTGACATATTTATTGCTTCACAATTCAGCAATTGCGAAATAAAATCACAAATAAATAAGAAACTTTATTAAAAATCTTTATTTAAACAAATAATATATGATTGTTCATAACTATATATAATATATTTGCAAAATATTAATTTTTTTTTGATTTAAAAGAGCAATTTTAGGATTTGGCTGGGTTTAACCAGCAAATATAATTATGAGTAATTATTTTTCATGTCTTCTAATACCTGCTGGTCTGTAATACAAAGTTACATTATAAGAACATGTGTAATTTAAAAATGCGAATTCAGATTTTCTCCACAACTCAATAAATGAATACAAGATATTATCTATTATTAAAAACAAAAAACACACAGAATAAACTTGAAAATTGTGTATTATTGAAATAAAAATTTGTCAAAATGAAAAAATGAAATAGTTACTCTTAGACATTGTTATCAAACAGAAAAATTAAAAGAATAAAAAATTATAAAATATCAAAATTTTACTAAGACGAAATAGTGAAATACTAAAATAAAATAAAAAAATTAACCTTTAATTTAGCCAATCAGAATTCACACTATTGTATATTAAGAAATTTCTGGAATAAAACTGATCAATATTTTGATATCATAATAGGTGCGATCTTCACAACCCATATTTAAAAATGTGCCTGACTATATTATCTGAACTTTGTTCAACAGTACTTTTTGATGATTGACCTATTTTATCATAATTGACTACATTACCAATACTAGTTGTTTTAAGAGCAATAAATTCTTTTTTTGAACTTTTGTTTGGCAGAAGATTTCTTCAAAGGCAACTTATTTTCTTTGTTTTCATCTATACTACAGATATACTTGTTGTTTGGTAGTCTACCACATAAATGTTTAATTACTGTCATTTGAATTTTATTGTAATTTGCAGTATTTTTAATGTTGATTGTTTCAAAAATAGCATTTGTGTTGTTGGTTTGGTCTCTTTGTAAAAGTTTTAGTATTTCTCTATACTCAATAATGTATTCTGAAGCTTGATGCATCAAATTTGAAAAGGCACCATAGTGATGTATTGGAAGTTGTTCAAAAATTCATGTGATATGAGAGGAGGCAGCATGCTCCATTTCTATCTGATGATGCATTCCAGGCTGATAGATCTTGCTTGGTGGCACATAAGTATATAAATGAAATAAATAAACTGCAATAATATGCCAATATGGAGTTCTAGTTCGTCGTGGGTGTAGGCATGTATAGGTGCTAGGTGATAAAAGATTTACTATATGCGTTTTACTAGGCTCATCATCAAGGGGTGTTACATTGTAAATATTATTACTACTTTCAAATATCTTATAGATATTAGATTTAGCGAGTTCTTCTTGTGGCTTTATAAATATTTCGAATACAAATCATGAGCACACTAATCTTAGCCTTTCTAAACTATTATCTGTTTCATCATATGTATGTTTGTTTTGATGTATAAATGTTTTATATGCTTGTTTTTGGATGAATTCTCATATTTGCTTCCAAAGAATTGAAAACAACTTGTCAATTGATGTAATTCAATTTTCAATACCTTTTAATTTGTTATGCAAACTCTTGACACATTAACTTGATCTTATATCAAGATTTATGTTGCTCTTCATATAGGATGCAAGCCAACTTGTTTTATGTGGCATCCATGTCTCACACATATATGCCTTTGCACTTGGAAATTGATTTCATAACAACTTAAGCTCTTGCTCAATTTGGTTTTTTAAAGATCGCTATAAACAAGTTTTTGAATAGCCTTAGTAAATTTGTCGATATCGATATTCTTTTAAAGTTTATTTCTGATATTTTTAAAAATGTGTCACGTGCACAGCTGATGCTTTGCATAAGGAAATATATTAGAAATAGCTCTTATGAGAGCCAATTTCCAATCAGTCATAATTGTTTCTACTTGCACATTGCCGGTAAACACAATTAGAACTTGACTTAGTTGTTGCAGCACCCAACTGTAAAAATCTTGTGTTTTTGAGTATACAAGTGCAAATGCTAATAGATATGTGGACCCAAATTGATCGATGCTACAAATAGCAATTAAACGCATCGAAAACCTGTTTGTTCACTATATATAAATGTGAGAAATTGAAAAAAAAATAATTAATTAAATAAACAAAATATAATAAAAAAAAAATAAATTAAGATAAAATCTATTCGTTTTATAAGTAGCATTGATAATTAAAACATCCTTTCCTACAAAAAACTCTGAAACTGAATTACAGTATGCTCAAAAAATTCCCTAAATGAATTCACCATCCTGATCTCGTTCGTTATTGAATGCATTCTTTATTTCAATATTGGCCACTATGCTTTCATCATCGTACAAAGTTTTAAGAAGTAATTCAATCTCACTTAAGCCTTGTAATTTACACTTATATTAATAGTTCACCGCATTATACATATCAGGTTTGTGAATATATCTTGAGCTAACTGAATTTAATACTAAAAAGATATCCTTTGTCCTAAGTACATTATCATAGAGTTTTTCCACCAAATCCAAATTATCTTTATCAAGTTTCCAAGCAATAGTACTAAACTTTGTAGTATTCATGCAATTATCATGATTATGCTCAAGATGTGACTTAATTATAACAAATTTTTTAGTATACCTATGGTAGTTTACGCTAATTGCAAATTTGCATCCAATACGCTTCGTTATGTATTCATCTTTTTTTCCACCATATTTTCCTTGCTTTTCATATATGAAAAGTGCCTGTTTATAACTGCCATCAGAATTTTTTGTTGACCTTCCTAATATTATAACAGTATTCATTTGCATTGCATATCTTTTGATTGTTTCTTGAACTTCTGCAAAGGTATCAAAATTACTTTCAGATTTACAGCACTGAGATCTATTATTATGTATTTTTAATGAATACTATCACTTAATATTTAATGAATAAAGACTTTTAATTAGTGTTTTATACTTTGCCTACAAAAAATGTAAAATAAAGTAAAAATTATAGAATAAACAATTTAAATTGACTATGTTTTTTTTTTTATAGAAAGAAACTTGCTTCACTCTTTATCATAATTCTTTTTATTCTAAGTTGGTTATTTTATCTATGTGTTCTAATCGGGAAGAATTTCGTGCAAGGATAGGTGCAGAAAATTTTCTTCCTCCTTATTATTTCCTAATTCAGTTATTTCACCTGATCAGAAAAAGTCTTGTGCAGAAATTTACTCGTCTTTCTTTATTAATTATTACAGTATTTCCTAATTCGGTTATTCACTTATTATGATCAAGAAAAAGCTTGTATTAAAGTATTGTAGTAAAGATTACATATACTACAATCGATTAAAGTGTGTAAAGCAGATCATAAATAAGGGGTCGATCGACTAAAAAGAGTTAAATACTTATAACAATAGGGTAATTGTAGATTTAATTTTAGTCATAACTATGAGTTAACTGATTCTTGAAAAAGCGTATGCTTAAATTTTAATTGTGACAAAGAGTTATTCCTAAAAATTTGAGTATTTATATAGCTACAAGCGATTAATTACATATCTAATAATTTAAGTGGTCGATCATAAAAGTCTAGCATTTTTATTGGTTGATTCGAATTGAGATATATAAGGTTATACAAAACTGAAATACATGAAAAATTGTTATAAAAACTAATGTATCACTTATCCCAACTCAACACCATCTTTGCAAATTTATTTCATACTTTAAAATCTGTAAGTGGACGATGAAGTCACCTACTCATATGACACTTCTAGTTGTTTAAATATTTTAACTATATAAATTTGTTTTTTAAATTTTAAAGTAAGGCCATACTTTTAACTTTATTAAAACTCAATTAAATCTCTTTACAAAAAATTTACAAAAAAGAAATTATATATGAATTTAATATCCAAAGGATATCAAGAATAGAGATTCAAACAAAATTTTCTGTAGCCTAAACCTAACTGTATAAATTTGTTATTTTAATAGCTTTTTCAAAAAATGAAGAATTATAGAAGTCAGTAATGCAGAGCATAAGGTCAATAATGTAGAAAGTTTTTGAATCAAAATGGCTACCTTTCTTAAAAAGTAACACCAAGGCCCATATAATCATAAAGTAAAAAAAATCTAAAATAAGCAAGTATCATCATTTATTATTTGAACAAAATGATGATGGTGTATTCTGGATCTTTGTAATAGCAAGAACTGCATTTTTGGAAGTTGCAGTTTTTACTTTAATAAATGAATATTATATTTTTGCACTCACAGTATGCAATATATTTTTGCATTCCAAATCTAAAAGTATTACATGTGATAAAAAAAATAAAATGGCATATTAAAAGTTGCTGTTTTTTTTATTTTTTTACTATAAGATTATTATACAATATTAATATTTTAATAAATATAAAATTATTTTAATAATGATAGTCATTCTTATAATTTGTTAAAAATAATTATGAATAATGAAGCAGAGGGTTAGAACTGCTCTGAATCATGGATAAATACTTTTGAATTTAAATCTAATACTCCTTTTCAAGGTAGTAGTTTTAGAGCTTTTCTTTTATAATAAGATATAGATAATTTGTTTGGTTTTGACAATTATACTGATTAATTTAATTTTAATTAATTATATTTGTTTGCATATAATTCAACAATTTGTAATTTTTATTTTTCAATTAATAAATTCTATTGCAAAAAAACATTTTTTTTGCATAATAAAAGTAAATATTTGATTTATTAGTTTTGATTTACTAAATATGAATAATAAGTATACAGTATAATAATATTGATATTGGTATAATTAGAAAAATTTGATTAAAATCATTATATATTAATTGATATAAATTGAGATTTTATTAATTTCTATCTAAATTAATAGAAATTGGTAGGATTACTATCAATTTTTATCTTTATCGATAGAAATCAGTAAGGAAAATTTAAATCAATACTTATTTAATAACTGTTTAAAATCAATGCTAATCTCTTGCAAATTTTGGTGATGAAGGTAGTTGTAAATAAGACCAAGTTGTTGTAATTGTGTTATTTTGTACTGATTAAAGAATGTTAGTAAACTATAAAGGTTGGCATCTAGTAGATTTGTTTGTATATAAGTAAATATTATTTCATAGTAGAATAAATTTATTATTTGAGATTGTAATTTGTTCAATAAAAAGTAAATAGTTGGTTCTTAAGCTATTAATTGTAAAAATATGCATATTTAGAGGAAGTATATTATAAATTAAAGGATGTTTAAAAGAAAATTTGAATAATATAAGTTTAAAAAGAGGCTAAATAATATAATATTATTTAATGCTAATTGAGAAAGTTGAAAAATAAAAGTAAAGTCAATTCTTCTCACTGATCCTCTGTATACAAAAATATAGAAACAAAATAATGACAAAAATATACAACTAGCAATAGGAAACAAGACTTGCAGCTTTAAAGCAAAAGCAAGAAGACTAAAAACAACACTCAGTTTCTTAAGAGACTAGAGTAAATAGAGCAGAAGCAACAAAAATATAGAAGAAAAACTTGAAAAATCATTGATAATTTTGCTTTTTGCAAGTTATTTGAGAGACTTAATAATACAGATCAGTTTTTGTTATACAAAATATACAATATGTAATAAAAAATAAACAAAGAAAACATATTAAAAACAAGTGATGAATGAAAACAAAAGAGATATACAAATACAACAACTGAATAATAATATAGAGCAAGAGGCAATAGAAAATTCTGGAAAAAAATTTTACAACAGCAGAACAAGCAGAAGATGAATAGCTGCAATATATAAAGAATTGAAACAACATAGAGAAGGAAGAATTAAATATATAGAACTTGCTCTCAGAAAAGAAACAATATAGCATATCAAAAGGAAAATAGTTAGAAATCGACTTAACAGAACATGTTCTATTAGAAGAAGTTCGGAACTATAAGAAACCTATACATAACAGAAAGAGAGAGGTTGTTTGCACATAATAAAAAAGAATAGCTGCTGAGTACACAAGGTCTAAATAAAACAGAATGGATAAAAAGACTAGATAAACAGAATAATAAAATAACATTAGAACTATTATTGCAGCGCCTTAGAGAATCTGTTAAATTAATGAAAATAAAATAACAGGTAGAGAAAAAAGAAATAAAGTTAGAAAAGAAAAAAAGAAGATACAAGCTTGATAGAAAGCAAAGCTTCTTGAACAAATACAACAAGAAGCCAAAGAAAAAGAAGAATATTGAAAAAAAAATCACAGAAAGAGACATTGAAGGCCTCATAGAAAAGAAAACTTTAAACAAGCTAATCAAAGAATCAAAACCAAGAATTTTGGCAACAGTTTGGAATTGTTGTGATTATATAATAACATATAAATATAATAAGAAGAAAAAAATCTATTATCATAAGAGTTTGTATGATAATTAACAATATAGTTTAAAAGTTAATATTGCTAATATTGAATGTTAATTTCTACTATTCACTTTTGTATTTTCATTTGTGGGCTTTTGAGTTGTATATTGATAGAATCTTCATCTTCTATTAAGGTTAACTAAAACTTAGTTAGCCAATCACAACTCATAAATCATAATCATATTTGCATAATAACATTGAAATTGGATTATATAATAATAAATATTACAAAATTTGTTCTGTTAAAACAAATAATTGGCTGAAATGTGCTGCTATAAAGTATATATCAGCCAATTATTTGCTCTGGCAAAACAAATTTCATGATATTAATTGTTATATGACCAATATCTTATAAGTATTAGTAGATTAAATATTAAGAAGTCAGTAAGAACTATATTGTTTGTGTTTTTGGCAAGCAAAAGCATTTTTTTAGTTTGGTTAGTAAAAAGATATAATAGTTTAATTTGCAAATTTTATGAATAATATAAAATTGTATAAGATATTCAATAAAAGGTTGAAGTATTAAGTTAAAAAGTGATAAAATTTGTAAGAATGTAAGTTTTTTATATCTGATTAAACAAATAAAATTTTCAATTTTACTAAAAATTATATCTAATGTTGGTTTAGTTGAACTAGTTCTATCAAGATAGATACCTAAGTATCTAATAATATCATTTAGTTTTTTAAAATAGTTTGATTATTGAAAGTTAAAAAATTAATAAAGATTTGTATGATTTAAAATGAATATGAAGTAAATTAGATTTAATGAAGTTAATATCTATGTTGTTGATTTTGTAAAGTTTGAAAGTATTGTTAAGAAAGTGTTTTTTTAAAAAAATGAATATATTATAACATAAGTGAAAAAATATAGTAATTCTATGAGTTTTATTTATTTGAGCTAAAATTTTACAAAGCAAAATTTAATATATTTTTTAAAAATATAATTATTATACAGTAATTATCTTAGGCTGGACTTTTTAAATTAAAATAAAATATTATAAACTAGATAGCTGTATGACATCATTGTGCAAAACCAAAAATAGAACTTGACTAACTATTTAAGATTTGCCTAAATGCAGGAAAATATTTTTTTTTAAAAAATTTAGATCATATATAAATATAAAGTTTTTATACTTACTGTATATTGTCAAATATAAGCAACTGCAATTTTACATATTTTTAAATCAAAAATAGAGTTTGC